ACACTCAAACATTCGCAATTGTTTCTGAGCTATATCGAGTAGGAGATGGCAACATAGAAGCAAATGTTGAGAGTTGCACATTGGGAGGCACACCACGGAGGGTTCTTGGTCAACGAACGAGCCCACGTGTGAACTGTTCTACGCCCAAGCTCATAAGCGTTAAGCTAGCAGCAGTTCTGCCGTTACGCGATTATCCTGTTTTACGGCACTACTTCCCGTATGTTTGTAGCAGGAGGAAGTGAGCAGTTCACGCGCTACTATTGCTGTTGCTGCTGCCTGGGCTGCTCCTTTCGATGCTCCTTTCGCTGCTGCTTTTTCTTTGGCATCGTAAACCCGTTTAGGAACATACCCATTTTGACAAAGCACAGTACACCCAATCTGTGCAGCTAGACTGTCTTCCAAGTCGACACCTTTTAAATCTGCTTCTATTCGTCCGTCCGCCAGGGGAGAGTGCAGACCCCTATCGGGCGGGGCAATATTGCATAGCCGCATAATATGTGCCGAATTGAAGCCAAAGAAACTGCGGACAAAATGGATTAAAAAGTGCGGAGAAAGGAAAAAAGAGAAAGGACCTGGAACGTGAAAATGGGCTATACAGCACCTTTAGGGGAATCCCCCCATTGGAGAAGCGATGGAGGGATGGAAGTGGGAAGCCAAAAGGCAGAACAGATATGAGCACGCGACTTCGCCACTGCGTAGCGACCGCGACTCCTTCACTCGTTAGAAGGCGACGAACGAGGACCACAAAGGGACGCAGTTATAAAAGTTCAAAGGGAGTAACAAGCAGCAAAGCGGCGGAAAGGCCAAATGGGCCAGCCGGCGGACGCAACAAAGAACAAAAGCATAGCGGGGCGAAATGAGCCGGACAGAGTCGAATAAGTTGAAAAAGTAAAAAAAAAATAAAAAAAAATGAAAAAAATAAGAGAAAATGAAAAATAATAAAAGAAATAGAGACGAATAGAAGTGAAAAGCGAGAGACGTCAAAGCGATAAAAAAAAAAGGAAAAACAGCAGCGTGGTTCATTCCCCAGACAGGCTTCTAAACTTCTCGATGACATTAAATTCTTCCGTCTCCTTTATCACTGCCGGATGACTGCTGTCTACGCACTTGACGCACATCCGGAGGGATGCTAAATATGGTTGAAGGGGAGTGGCGTTTGTTCCCATGTCTGTGTGTGTGTATATGGGCCAGCTTTCACGGCACGATGGATCGTGCCACTTAGCTGCGCCACGTGACTGTGTCATGTATCGGCTGCCTCAACCACCGTAGGCCGCCAACCTGCGGGACCTCTTTAAGGGCCTACCTTTCGTCTCCTCCGCACCAACTGCCGTGTTTAGCTGGCATCTCGCGTATGGGTAAACCTGAAAAAAGGAAAAAAATATATAAAAGTGTCACAGAAGGTAGCGAAACAAAATAGGAAACCATCAAAGGAAGCGTCGTGGGGCAAAAAAAAAGAAAAAAAAAAAAAACACATGGGCGTCTCCCGCTTCGGGTCGCCGCCGTTCCTTCCTTTTCCTCACATGGCATTCATTGAGCTTAAACGGGTCTGTGTATCCTATTCCTTCCAGTTTTATATTTCTTGTTCCCTCATCATCTGTGACGGTCAGGTGGGACACGTACACTCGTGCGAAGTTGGACCCCTCGGGGATTTTTAAGACAATCTGGGGAAAATCGGGCAACGGTGGAGAAAATGATATACCTCTATGCACACGTAGAAGTTGGGCAACGGACACAGACAGACAGACACACAGACACACACCTCTGCGTATTGGAGTGGCGCAGTGGCGGAGAACTGGGTCGACTGTCTTACCTCCTCGTTCAACTCAAGTGAGTAGGCCCCCAGGACGTACTGCCCTCGGACGAAGGAAGAGTTGTAGTTGGACTTCGACATGGACTGCATAGAGAAAAAGGAGAAAGACACAGATATGAGGAGGCGTCTCCTGGGGTCAGAGAAGAATCCCCCATGGCATTTGTTGTGATAATCCTCTCACGTCTTACCGTCTTCACATCGTCGTTGTCGAATATCGCCGTACAGAAGAAATATACCTCTCCATTCTGCATCTCTGGTAAGTTTATTCCCCTTGAAAAAAAAAAAAAATAAATAAAAAAAAAAACAAAAAAAGGTGATGTCACCGAAAAGAGGGCTACATATGGGAAACGCAAGGGGCAAAACACCTTCTCTCTTTCTCTTCCTCATCTCGAGTCTTTTTTAAAGATACCTTAAATCGGAGAGGATGAAAATAACTTTGTACGCAGGCTTCTTTTCCTCTTTTTTAAATATCTTTTTAGACGACTCTTCTGTCATCTTGTTCTCGTTCTTTTTATCTAAAAGGGGGAACGGGAGGAGGGGAGAAAAATGTGCATATGAAGGTGCGGAAAAAATTGCCAACGTCTTCCACAATTTACACCAAGTGGCACGCGGAATCATCACTCTGTGCAGTGTCAACCGTAATTCGAATTGTGTATCTATCTTCTGCGGGAGGAAGGGGCGACGCTTGCTTGGATTAGACACTTTTGGAGGCTACACCAAAATGTGGGGGCTAAACATCCTGTATGACTACTTCTAGACGGGACACACCTTGGCGTAACTTCCCCAATGGTGTGTAGCTTCACCGTTTATTGAAGAAAGACATAGGGAAGCGAACATGCCACTTCTGGTCCGCATGGTCGTTACTATCATGTGTAACTTCGCCATCTCATTTCTGTGCATGCTCTCTCTACAGTGCGCCACCCGGGCGCTCTCCCCCTCCCCACACACGTTTGTGCTGAGTTTTATACATATGCATAGATACATATGTAGTACATATGGTTGCACACAAGTACACATCCGATAAGCATCTGATCCGAATGCAGCCTTCGATGCCGCGATGGATGTCGTTCCGGTCCCGCCTTACCTCCCGTTGGACGAAGCCCCATGAACTGTCCTCCATAATTCTTGTTGTATGACATTTTAAAAAACAAGTTTTGGCGTCGGTTTCCCGTTCGTGTGGTTCCTCAGAGGGTGGCGGCGAATGCGCACAAGCAGTTTTTTCTAATGGTGTGGCGGGTTCCGCAGACGAGAGGAGAGGCAGTTCGGTCGGCAGAAGTGTGTGTACATATGTATAGGTATATTTACACATATTTACGCGGGAGTTGCCCCATTTGGAGGGCACGCAAAATTTTTACCCCTCAAAAGATGCGTTTCGAAAGGATAATCAAATTTATTTGTCACTTTTTTTTTATGTAGCCAGTTTCGACGCCTTGTTATGCTTAATTGTCATTCAGTTTTTTTTTTTCTTTTCTTTTAACACAAATGTGGGGGCAGCATTTTGTACATCAGTTTAATGTTGTGAGATTTGTGGGTACGATTTGTTCGTATGATTTTTCATACCATTTTTTTTTTTTTTTTGTGTCCAATTTGGCTATTTTCACCTGACCCATTCATGTGCATTATTTGTCCATTTGACACTCCTTGGCACCATTTTGTACGTCGATTTTACACACTCGCCATTTAGATATGCCCATTTGAAGCATTTCCGCCTGATTTGTTCATATATTTTTTTCTTTTTTTTTTTTTTTCTCCTCTTTCTTTTTGGCTACCTGGTCACTGCGGTAGTCATCATTAAACGTAAAATTTTGTCTAAACAGTTGCAGAAGGAAGGGAAACGAAAGGTGTTAAAATATTTGTAAGTCGCAGGGCATGTAACTGTACCTCCTTTTTCTTTTTTTTTCCAAAGCGCTGTTGTACCTACACGCAGCTTCTACGTAGCTTCCATGCAGATTCCCTTTGGCTGCCCTGCCGTTTCGCCGTTCTTTTTTTTCCCCTTTCTGCTAGCTCGGGGACTGCATAGGGGACCTGGCCATTCGGCACGATAGCATTCCTATAAATGAATATATTTGCCTACACGTGTAAGCATGTACCCGTTTTGGGGACCCCCCAAAAGAGGAATTGCAAACATTTTGACTTTGTCACTCCACAAGAGGCAGCCTTGTCTGGTGGCCGAATTGGACGATTCGCAAGAAAGAACTAAACCGGGGAAGTGAACGAGAGAAGGGGACGCCACACCACATCATATGCGATTTTCCCAAAAGGGTCGCACCTTCACTTCCCTTTTTCCCTTAAATTTTCGTGAAACTCACATAAAAGAGGTTATAAAAGACACAACTGAGGGATAGCATTTCTCAGGGCCCACCATGAAGAAGTTAATTTGGTTAAACATTTTACACAAGGAAACAAAAAAGGGAATAAAAGAGACCCTTCATACTACAATATTTTAAAAAAAGAAAAAAAAAGGACCAAAACGATATAATGAATTAAAATAAAGGGGAACCAAAATAAAAGCTCATGCGGAGCTGTGGTGCGCATTCACTAAGTCCATGGTGGCCGTCGTGACCGGGGGCTGCTTCAGAGGAGAGGCTGCACAAGTTCGGCGTCCCGGGGGCTCTTGTATGCGCGCGCGCTCCGCTTGTTCTTGAGGTAAATGGTGACAAATAAACAAAGGATAAGGATGATCACCAGGATGACGAAAAAAAACAATACATACAGACCCTTTAGGTACTCTGTGAGGAGGAAGGATGGGGAGAGGCACAGACGTCCATGTGCCATATCTATATACATTTATTTACACATATGCGCAGACACAATTCGGCGGAAAGGGAGGGAGGGGAACCAACTGGGGGCTGCCCCTCGGAGAAAGTTGACCCTACCTTCTTTAATCAAGAAACAGCCAAAAATGTAATTGTTCAGACTGATGATTATCATCGTAACTAACTCGAAGATGGCAAAGGCTGAAGTGATATTTTCATTATTCTTCACGCTATATAGTGTTGGGGCGGGGTGAAAGAGGCAGGCGTCACGAGGTGTCAGGGTGATCTGGGGGCAGACGGAAGTAGGTGCAGACAGAAAGTAGGTACACACAGGGAAGTACTCTCGCGTATAGACGCTTCCTCCAACGTACCACAGATGAGTGGGGATCTGCGAAATGATAACCGTGGGGATGATAGACTCGCTGATGCCTGTTCGGGAAAAAGAAAAAAAATAAGAAAATATAAAAAATAAAAAAAAATAAAATGCCCATTTCGCGGAGCCGCTTATCGAAGGGGAAAGCTTTCCCCAAAGGGACACTGGCTATGTCCACCATCAGGGACAGGCCAATTCTACACTTCTCCGTTTGCTCTTTCCTTTTTGTAACCTATGAGGTTGAAGAAGAGAAAGGCGAGGGGTTCCGAATCTGCAAAATGGTGAGTGAAGGTGTGAAGATGCGAAGTGGAAGTGATGCTGGGAAAAAAAAAAAATCCAGCGGGAGGCCACTCTCCGGTTCAGTCCGCTCCTTACTCAGGTTAAACTTGTAGCAGTATATGGACCCCGATATGGCCACCAAGATGAAGGAGGAAGAGCAAAGAAGGAGGGACAGAAACGATCCTATGTTGTCCACGATGTAGCCAGAAAAAGGAATGGCGATAAGTGAAACGGACGTCATGATGATGGTATACACATTGGACACATAAATGTTAATATTAAACACAAACAGGTAAATGTAAAAAAAGTAGTTAATAAAAATGTGCATAATGGATATGAGAAAAGCATAGATAAAGATGAAGAAGAGAAAATAAAATGTGAAGGAGGAGCTGAATTGTTTTATCCCTTGGTAGATATTCAGAATTGTGTTTTTCACTTCGCCGTTGCTTTCATCGTCTCTACTGAGGAAGAATGCTCCTGCGTTGTCTCTATCGTCCCTTCCATGCCTGTCGTCGCACACCCCCCACTCGTCGTAGTAGTCTACATTCCTGTTGCACTCTTCATCGCAGTTTGGGATTAATAAAACATTCCTTTTCTGTTCTTCCCTTTCCTGGGGGTCCACTTCTTCTTCCCTGGAGAGTTTGGCACCCTCTACATCGTTCGCTTCGTCCACTCGGTCGGCTTCCTCCGCTTCCTTCGCTTCCTTCGCTTCCTTCGCTTCCTCCGCTACGTTCACTTCTACACCCCCGTGCGGTCCTTCCGTGATACTCCGATCATGGGGTAGGTGGAGGTCCTCTTTTTGGTCCTTGTAGGCCGCTTCCTCCTCGGGTTGGTCCAGAAAGTGCACCGAGTCCCCCTTGGCCAGCCTCCTCCTCTGCTTCTTTACGCAGCTGGGAATCTTCCCGATCTTCTCTGTTTGGACGTTCCCCTCGTCCCGATCAGCGGCGTCCATTTGTTGCTCGGCCTCAGCTTTCTCCCCGCTCAGCCGGTAGGAAGCCATCCCGTTGGAGGCAAACTGGCTGGCCTCTAACTGGTTGGCCTCTAACTGGTTCTTTGGAGCTGCCTTTTCGCATAGGTCCTGCGCCCCCTTGGGGCCTAAATTGGCCAAGCTGCTCAGAGGCTCTATGCATATTTTGTACGGCTTCATGGTGTAGCTGTGTTTCTTCTTCCTGCTGAAGGATGGAGTGCCAAGTTGGTCTCCTTCAGAACGTTCAGGAAGTGTGCCCCTTTGAGACCTCTGGCTGCGATGACCACATTCCCCACTCGGAGTGTCTACTTCCCCTGGGGGGTCCATCACCCTGTAGGTACTCTTCACCTCGAGACTCTCGTCTTGAATTTCCAAAATGCGAAGTTTGTTCTTTCTGAACGTGTTCAGGCGAAAGTAATCATAAAAAATGGACTTGTTCAAATTCATGTAGGCGCAAAAGCTAATCTTGATATTTTCATCTCCACACATATCGATGTGGACCAGAATATTGTCGATGTCTTTGTCGACGGAATAGAGATAGTAAGTCTCCTTGTGATAGAAGCAGACATATTTATAGTTGTAGAAGATGCTATGCATGTTCACCCACAGTTTCTTCTGATAGAACCACTTGTACGTAAAGATCAGAATCATTAAGAAGCCAAACATATCGATGACTAGAAAGAGAATTATGTAATCGCTGATGTCCGTGTTGGAGTTACTACTCGTAACGACGTAGTTGAGCGAGTGAGCGAAGAGCTTACAGAGGTTGTTCATTAGGATCAGCAGCGAGGTGATGAGTCCTATGTTCACGTAAAAGATACAATACATTATCTTTTTCTGGTATATTTTGATGTATCCACTGCATATGGAGCTGACGATAATAAAGAGGTACAGCAAATTGAGGTACTTCCTTTCGTACGTGTGGGCTGCGTCCCTGTCACTGCCGTTTTGGCGTCTATCACTGTTGTTTTGGTCTTCGTCTTTGTCTTCCTTGTTGTCTTTATTCTGGTTATCCTCTTCGCCGCTTCCCACGCTTCCACCACCCAGGATAAACTGCAGGGCGCTCCCCTGAAACAGCCCCACGCTGAGGAACTCCCCCGAGTTCAGCCTATCCTGGAGATTCCTCTTAAAGTAAAAATTGATATCCCTCCGTTTTGCAAGACCATCATTTGGGGAAGCTTTTCTCTCCACGTCTGAGTACCTTCCCATGGGTATCCTTCCAACTAGGGGGATGGAAAGCCTCGACATGCTCGTGTCCACCCCGCTTGTAACTACACGCAAATCTGTATTCCTCATTTGAATATCACTCAGAAGCAGAAAAATGATAAAATGAGAGACCAAGTTAACGATGTAGAAGCTATTTACGACGTAATTCTTTTTTCCCAGATCGAATATCAGGATGAAGATGTACGTCACTAGAGAGCTACAGTAAATGAGCGACAGGATGTTACTGTATAGATAAATCGAGTGACTATTTCGGGCTTTCGCTTCGAAGAAGGTGTGGTCGTTCATCGCTTGCCGGGACACAGTCACAGGTCGGTTATTACCTAAAGAAAATGCAGCGGACTGTCCAAATGGATCAGTCTGTACCGCTTGCCCCTCCCTTTCGGGGAACCTCCCCTCCTGATGAGCCACATTCTCAATGTCGATCTGGTTGTGCACCCCAGTCAGCATAAACAGAAAGGGAAATACATTTTTAAATATATGCGTTGAGCAGGAGAAGAAAAACACACAGATCAGCAACAACAGTTTGTTCTTCTTCGAGAAGTACACACTGGATATTTGGTACTCGGACATGGTGGTCTTCCTTTGGCAGAGTTAGCAGGGTTAGCGCGGTTAGCGGCGGTGGCAGGGTTGACTGAGTTGGCCGGATTGCCCCTGTTCGTTGCAACGATGGTCGGGTGCACGGCCGCGCGATGAAGTGTACTTTCACACGCGGCGAGCACCCTGGGGAGCGGTCGAACGTCCGGGTAGCAGCACAAACGTGTGTCTGGTTTTGTGATTTCTTCCCTGCCTGGCTGTACCTGTTGGCTCAAGACCGACCTCCCACTCGTACCATTTTTAGCGACGCGGCGCCTTCTCTTCCACTTTCCCGATTGGTTATTTTGTCAATTGGCCGCTTCTTCTCCCCTGCTGCTTCGCTTCGCTCAATTCATGGTGCCGCCTTCAGCGCCTGCCTGCGTCGCTCCGTTGGGTATGCGAACGGTTCTATTTAAAAAGGTTCCCCTTTTTCCTCCTATGTCGCTGCTAGACGATTGGGATTTCCCGCCTGGGTAATTCAAACGGGGATGGAGAATGGCCCTTTGGGGAGGGAAAATTGCTACGCTTGGCTCTGCCGGGCCGTCACTAATGCTTCGACCGCGTGTACAACGTGATGGTTTCGTTCGGTTCGGTTGGGTTCAGTTCGGCTTGACTTCACTTCTGTTGGCTTCTCCTGTTTGATTGCTATAATTTTACTCTTTTCCCCTTTTGCGCCTTGCTTACGTGTCAACCGCTGACGCTCCAGTTTTTTTTTTTTTTTTTTTTAAGTCCCTTTGAATCTACCTCGATGAGACTGTGTTCTGTGTAGACAAAGCCCAACTCGATTGGAGGAGCCGGTGGGCCAGTGGAGGACTGGGAAAGTCACTTGGGAGGAGAAAAAGAAGAAAAAAGAGAAATGCATATGCTTATCTGTAAGCATGACTCAGAAGGGCGGACTGGGGGGAGGGTCAATTTGAAGGGGGAAAGAAGTACCTATGTGTGTTCAGCCTTTGCAAATGCAAGTGTATACGTATGTATGTATGCACGTAAGCGTGTATGTATGCTTGCCTATGCGCGGCTCATCCAGCTATAGGCACCTGTTTGTCACGTCCGCTCCCCACGTGTTCTTTCGCCCCCGCGCATTTGATGCACTTTCAATCTTCAATTCTGTTGCGTCCCGTTTTGCCCCAGAATCCGTCACGTGAGAGGGCCGGAGCGGAGCAAAGAAGCACGCATAGGTGGGTGAGCGGCACATAAGCAGGCATACATAAGCTCATATACACGCAGATACATACACCCATTTAAACCCGCATGGGGACCCTTTCCAACCTCGTGACATGAGCCATGGCAGGCCCAAACCGCTAAGTATACAGACCGCATTGTAATCACCCCAAGGAGAGAGGAATCCTTTTTTTTTTTTTTTCTTTTTCCACCATTTGGAGGTACCAATAGGGATTTTTTTGTCGTCCGCCACCTCCTTCCACCCCTTTCATGTTCGTGTACGTTTTTCCATTACACGCTGTGCATGTGCAGTGACACTTCATTTTACCAAAATCGCTTTAACGTTGTAACAGCTTGTTTTCCCCTAGGAGGTAACTTACTACGATTTGGAAGGGATTCCCTAATTTGGCTCATTTTGCTCGTTAAGGCAAATCGCCTTTGTTGCAATATTTGTGCACACCTGGGACGGCGTCGGGAGCGCATCGCGTGGCCCCGTCGTGAGCTGGGTTAGAGGTTAGACGTAACAGGCTAGAGGCGGGTTAGGAAGCAGTTTGAGGAAGCCACCCAAGCGGCGCAGCAAAGGAGAATTGAGTGGCCTGTCGACAAGTTGCGCGCCAACGGGGAGAAAAGAAGCACACGGGATAAAACAAGGGAATAAACGAGAAAGGTTAAGAAAACACACCAGATAAGGAAGCGCCAACAGACCACATAGCTCAACGCCAACACATTGACGTATGTCTATGAGCTACTCCCACCTCCTGGCCTCGCCCCATTCCAACTCCTCACGCACCGCTTATCCCCCGAACAATGCAGAAGAGCGGTAACGACAGCCTGAGTGAATGGTGCCTAATCGAGAGCAACCCGTGCATTTTCAATGACATGCTGAATCGGATGGGGGCGAAGAACCTCTCCGTGGAGGACGTATACGGCATGGATTTTTTCGATGACTACATCTGTAACAGGGATGTGGTCAGCGTAGAGAATGTCCTCAGTATCGACGAGTATCGGAGTGAGAAGGAGAAGGGGGTGAAAGAGGGGGGGGCCACCCCCATGGGGGAGGGTGCTATTGAGAGGAACCCCGTTGGGAGTACCGCTGGGGAGACGCCCCCGGATAGGGCAGGTCTACAGAAGGGGCTGTATAGCAGCTCCGTCACAACAGAAGTCAAATACAACAAGCTAATAAAAAACGAAAGCAACATCTATGGAATCATTTTCTTATTTAACATTGGAAAGAGTTATAATAGGAATAAGTTCATACATCACAGTGTACCGGAAGATCTCTTTTTTGCAAAACAGGTGATCCCGAACGCATGTGCCACGCAGGCCATTCTATCCATTGTCCTAAACAAAGAGGTGGAACTGAACGAAGAAATAAAAAACATCAAATCGTTTAGTAGTAACTTTGATAGTTCTATGAAAGGCCTCACTCTCTCCAACTGTAACTTCCTTCGAAATATACACAATTCGTATAAGCCTCCCATATATATAGAAAAGGAGGACCTTCGTGACGAGAAAGGGAGAAACAACGACTCGTTTCACTTCGTTTCGTATATACAATTTGGCGGGAGTGTGTACATGCTGGATGGGCTACAGGAGGGGCCTGTGCTAATCGGAGATACGAATGGTTCAGCACAAGAGCGCAGTTGGATTGATCTCGCCAGGGAACACATACAGAAGGAAATCCACGAGATATGCAATGGCAGTGGTGGTGAAAGCGGCAATGGTAGCGGTGGTGGAAGCGGCAATGGTAGCGCTATCGGTAATGGCAGCAGCCGAGGAGACGGCCGATTCAACATCCTAGCTGTCATAAAAGACAAGGAACACATTATCAACGAATTCTGTAACATACATAGGATCGTAAAAAAGAGAGTCAACACTAAGTTAAGTAGCCTGGGAAAGCAGGACGTCGACTTCAGCGACGATATAAATGAAGACAATTTTAATTACCCGACCATTCCAACTATAGAGCAGCTCCCACATGACATCTCAGAGCTCCTTCTCATTGCTCAGAAGTCAGCAGCAGAAATTAACTTCCTTCAGTCACTTCTCCAGGAACAAATACAGTTGAAGCTGACGTGGAATAAAGAGCTCACGTTCAAATTTTTTAACTTCTATCCATTTGTGATGTCCTCGTTGAAGCTCATGGCCAAGCATAAGCTCTTAAAGGAGGCGTACCAGAAGGAGAAGGAAAGGCACAGGCGGGCCGCCGTGTAGAGGTGTGGCGGTATAAAGGAATCCTAGCGGAGCAGCCCACATGGGGGACATGCCCCGCGGCCACCGGCAGTTACGCCTGCTTGTACGCACTTCACGCTTTTGATGGCCCACCCGCGAGGCTGCGAGGAAAGAAAAAATAAAAGAAACAAACAGACAGACATACAGACAAACAAAACGATTCGCCTGTCAATCGTTTGGGCATTTATAGGGGCAAGCCTTCTGGGCCCATTTTGTACGTGCCCGAAATGCACACCAGGTAAAAAAAAAAAAAATAAAATAATTTCTCGTCGCGAGATGTTGTGCTAGGGCCTACACACGTGTGTGGCGAGGCTACGCGTTTTTTCTCAATCTTGGCCTTGCTGGAGGTTTTCTGTTTGTGTTCTGCGTCTGTGCCCTCCTTTTGTATCATCCTCTTGTCTCCTCCTTCTGTGTCCTCCTTTTGTGTCCTCTTTTTGTGTCTTCCTTTTGGGTTCTCTTTTTATGTCCTCCGTCTATGTTCTCTTTTTGCCTTTTTCTCCCTGCCTTCCTCCTTTTTTTCCCCATTCTTCTTTCCCCATTCTTGCCCCGTCTTTGCCCGCCTTTCCAGCTGCTTCCTCCGTCTCCACCACTTCGCGCACACGCACGAGAACACGTGTGGAGGCATAATCCCCATTTTTAAGAAAACCAATTCGTGAACATATACCTTCATGAGTCTTCCTTTTGCTATTTAATTGAAACTGGGAGTTATTACATCTCAGGGAATCGCTCTATGTGAAAGGTCCAGCTGAAACGACTGCACAAAGGAACGGTGTGTAAAGTGGAGATCCCCCCTTCTGCTTGACTCTCCCCCCAAGAGGGACAACACACTCGGGGTGGAGCTCTTATCCGCCAGGAAGTGTATAAATCTTCGCTTGGACGCGTTAACTATTGCTTCCTCCTTCACAGTGCTGCATAGGCCAAATTGATCCGCTTCGCATTGGCGCCAACAGGTGCACATCCCGAAAAGAACTTCACGCCGTTCAAAATGAAGAACCGCGACACCGGAAAAAAGTTGAAGAAAAAAAAAAAAAAAAGGAGAAAATTCAAAAGAAGAAAAAAAACGGAATAGAACAAAACAAATTGGCATACCTCAGTTTCTTATGCGAAGAGGATGACATAAATTTCTTCTGCACTTTTGAGGACAACTGGGAAAAGAACAACTCCCGCAGAGCTTCCAACGAGGGAGCCCTTGCTTGTTACAACAATTTCAGTGGTCCCTCTTCTAAGTCTGACGCCTTGGAACAGTCCTACCTCTACACGCTGCTCCAAAATGAGGACTTCACTTCTGATAGGCGGTCCTGCTCATCCATGGGATTCATTTTCGACAAGTTGTTTTTGCACTTCGCCGATTTTGACGAGCAACTGCGTAGGGATATCCATTTGGGGAGGTCCTTCCGAAAGGGGAAGAGAAAGAGAAGCAGCCGTAGTAGTAATGCGGCGAAGGAGAAGCCACCAAGAGGGGGGACCCTAATGGGTGCTCCGAACCTGTGCGCAGATAAAAATGGTGTCTTCCCAGGTAGACCCCATTCAGACGTCGCAAAAGACTCCAATTTAACAGAAAAAAGAATCACATATGAAGAGGATGAGGATGTTATGTTTCACCACTTGGCATACAGCCAGCTGCAAGACAGCCTTCTTCAGTTTTACCTCCCCGCAGGGGGGTATTACAGCAAAAGCGGTTTACGTAAAAACGGAGCCACCCCTGCGAACGAAGGTCAGCGCCCCGGACGTTGTGACATTGGTGCGGAATGGGTCAAGGCAAACGGGGCTCTTTCTTCGAGGGGAAAACTATCTGCACGTGGAGCGGAGAAAGAAACAAGAACAGAAAAGATAGAAACAAAAGAAACAAAAAAGACAAAAAAGACAAAGAAAACAGAACATATAGCTTCTACTGCGAAACGACGAGGCAGTGACCACGTGGATGAAATCACAGAAAGGGTGAAATCCAAACGGGATGACGTCACACACCCAATGTCGAATCCCGAACGGCTCTTCCGCTTGTACAATTACTCCTCTAGCGAAGACAGCCATATGTCCTTTTCGCAATTTTTACCTGAACAGTTCAGAAAAAAAAAAGTAAAAAAAAACCAATCCCCCAGGGCAACCTCCACACAGGGGAAGAGACGACATAAGATGGAACTACAAAACGACGCTGCTACCATTTTTGATGAAATCATACAACTATGCAGAAGGAACGAAATATTCGCTTTTAAGAAGGTGAAGAAGAAGTACGCAAGGAGGTGTAACGGGACCCACTCAAAGGGAAAGCGAACCGTTTTTCCAGTACAGTTGTCTGACCATGGTGGCAAAGAGGATTATTCATTCGTCCATTCCAAGCGGGTGTTGAATCCTCCCACTGGGAGGAACCTTTCAGCCTGTCCAACCATAAGTGGCTCCCACGAAGGCTTTAGAAATACTCATTTAAGAGCACACATCCTTGGTAAGGGTGCTACACCTCATGCCCCCCCCCGCTTGAAGAAGAAGAGAAGTTTCAGTGAAAGCTCTCCTATTGTGGTGAGGATCTCGGAAGAGCGCTCGAATTCGAGGGCAATCAAAGTGTGCAGGGTGGGTGCTCCGACTGCGACTGCTCCGACTTCGACTGCTCCGACTGCGACTGCTCCAACTGCGACTGCTCCAACTGCGACTGCTCCAACTGCGACTGCTCCTACCGGTCCCACCGCTCCCACTGCTCCCACTGCTGCTCATCCTTCCCGTGATAAACACCATAGGGGTTATGCCTCCTCCCTTGTTGCGTCAAACTGTGAAGAGAGCAGGACGGACTGGACTCGATTCCCAAACCTGATGAACGCAAAAAGGGGGAAAGAAAAAAAAATGATGAAAATGCAAATCTTGGAAGGGTTAAATCAAAGGAATTACGACCCTGGGCACCTTGAACGGATGGTTAGTAGCAAATGCTTCCCCCTAGCGAGAGCAAAATTAAGACATACATTGGACAGAAGCGTAGAGGTTAAGCTAGTTGGACGGGACAACAAACCAAAGAAGAAGAAAAAAGAACCCATTTGTACATCTAGCTGGAGCAAAATATGGTCCTCTGCAAGGAGACTACACTTTTGCTCACTCTATGTGCAGGAGCATTACGAAATGATTGTCCATATGTACAGACATGAATATCCCCTCCACGATTTTTACTTCACTTACGTCTATGTGATGGCATTAATGAAATTGAGAAGGTATGCTCTCTGTTGGGAGTACCTCTTAAGAGTTAACCGCGTACTGGGGGCACATCGAGCGACTAACCAAACTGGAGCGACTAACCAAACTGGAGCGACTAGCCAAACTGCAGGAGTTATCGCAACTAGCGCAGCTGGCGCGGGGCTGGTTCACTTCCTCTGGGGCAAGCTATACGAGAAGATGCTACTGAGTAGGCTGAGCGCGGCGGAGTACTCGAAGGTAGTGCTTAACCACGTGAGGAGATCTACCCCCAGTTTGTCCACACGGCTACACGCACAGGAAGTTCCAGGTGCATCTCAGAGCGGCATGGCGGACATGCAGCCATTCATTCTTGTCTGTCTAGACAAACTCATAGGGACGGGACAACTTAAGAGGAGGGAGGAAAGAACGACACTCAGGTTCGTCCAGATGAATTACAACTTAGGGAGAGTTCTTAACTTTTATTTTTGCAACGTGGGTTCCAATGGGGGTTTCGCGCACAACCCCAGTGACTACACAAAGACGCAGAAGGAGGGGACGTTCGGCTGTGCCCCCCACAGGAATAGGCATAAGAGCTGCATGGGCCCGGTCAGGCTATTGCGCCCGCCTCGCTTCTCCAGAGCGGAGCTTCTCCAGGGGGGGAATCCCCATGACCTCTTCTCCAGTGACCACATCGGTGGTGAGCGCCTCTCGAATGATAGCTTCGTCAATTCTGCTAACCATCACGGCGTCCACTTCGCCAATGCCGCTAGCCACAACGATTGGAAAGCGACGACCCCCCCCTGGTCAAGTGAACACAACGCGCGGATGCGAAACTCAGCTGTGGGGAAGCGGAAGGACAGGGGGTACTCCCAGCAGGCGCCTCCCTGGAGAGACCACCGTCCACTTCGGGGAGTCCTCCTCAGTATCCCCCCCCAGCACATGCACGCGCAAGGGAACACAAACGTAAAGAGGTTCCACCATGGGGGAGGGGAAAACCAGAAGATGACTTCTCACCATGGAGTCATTGTCCCCCGAAGAGGACTACTCCAAATGTGTAGAAGCGTAAAGAGGAAGGTGCACCTAAATAGTGGAGACATCATCAGGGGGGGTGGTACTAGTGAGAGTGACGAGGTGGTTGGGGGGAGAGAAGTGAGCCTTTTAGGGAGGTACACTGTGCAGCGTGACACTTTTACGGGTGAAGGCAATGTAGAGGACCTGACTCGGAAGCAACTTCTGGCGGGGAAGCAATTCCTGGCCCATTTCGATCTTCTGCTTCGAAGTGGACACGCCCTGCCTGAGCAGAGGGTACTCCCCTACTACGACGATTTTTTCGTTTGTCTCTTTCGCGTGTATTTTGGCTCTTCCTCCCAGTGGATAATAAACAAGGCTATCATTTGGGAAGGGAACATACCATCAAATAAGGACGCATTGAAGACAGCACGATGGTTAGCGACGAGATTGAAGCTTATCGATGTTTGTCCTGTGGATGCATTTTCACCAAAAGGGGATAGACCAATCTGTCACGAGGAAAGGCTCCCTCCAGTTGGAAAGCAATCTCTATATTGTGTTGATCATCCGCTATGGTCTGGAAAATCCGTTCGAATGGAAAAACTAACCCTACCAGATCTTCTTCACATCATCCGGTTCTGTCACAGACATTTCGATTTTGTCAATGCATATTGTTTAAGTGAGTATACCTTGTGGAGAGAAAATGCCCTGGGAGAAGAGGACGCCATCGTTCTATTCGTCGAGTCGGTCACAAATATGCACAGCGTTGTATGTACAAGTCAGCAGAAAATCGAGCGGCTTCTCCAGCTGTACAATGCGCGGGTTAACCACACAGCCTTGAAGGCCAGACAGTACAGCCAAATGGGGAAAGAAAGTTATCGGTACAGGAAGGACCACCTGGATTACTACCTACATGGTGTTATTGCGCTTTTGAAAGGAGACTACGGTGAAGCATTTGTTTATTTTAAAAAATGTGTCACGGCAAAGAGGAAGTTCTTCCTGGCGTATGTCTACATGCTTCACATACTTTGCTGCTCACCGAAGAGGAGTGCCTTTCACTCCACAGAAAAGAAAAACATTTTTCATCATTGTCTACAGTTAAAACCGTTTAGCTTGTCCCCCTACTTAGTGTACTGTTCCAGTGTCGTGAGGAAGCTCCAGTTAGACTTAAATGACGAAAGAGAGAAACGCGGGGCTGACAAAAAGAGGAAGAAAAAGTTGCTCATAGAGTCAACAACTTTTTTGAGGGGCATATTTTCCAAAGCAATGCACCTCGATGATAAAAACCCATTTTTATACAACGAGTTATTTGTTTATCATTTTTTACGAAAAGATTTTGTCCAATGCAAAGTAGCGCTACGGAGAATGTTACTCATAGAAGACTTTTCTTCCCCATGTTGTAGTTCCTTGCCTCTTTCTGTTGTCCTCTACAATTCCAGTGTTTTTTATTTTTTGTGTGAAAATAACCTGAACAAGTCAGAAAAAAAAGTTATTGAAATTTTACACAATAACCCGTTTGATGTAAAAGCTTTGAACCTTTTAACGTTCCTTTTGTTTATAAAGAGGAACCAATACTGGACGCGCTTCTTCGATTATTCTATGTATGTGGAGAGGAGTCTCCTTTCGCGAAATGTGGTGAGTCAACCGCAATATTTGTGCCACACTTTTTTCAGCCGCCTTCGGGAGACGCGAGACTTGGGGCTCCTCGCCCGGTACTACGGGACGCTGAAGGCCGTGCGCACGTCCTTCCCATTCGTGCTCAATTACATCCACGCGAGTTACTATGCGTAGGGGGGCAGCCGTATCGCGGTGCAACTCTCTAGTGGACCATTTGCGTGACCTTCTATCTGCTTACCACTAACCGCGTCGTTATGATGCCGCCTCTCCCTCTACAAGGGCACATTCTCCCTTTTTTGCAACTTTAACGTTAACCCGGCGTTCCATGCGCCTATCTGCCTATCTGTCCAACTGAACCAACCCTTTTTTTTATACTTTTACATAACCTCTGTGCCCCCCAGTGGGTGGAGATCACCACGGAATGGTCCCTCCTCTTGGGAATAATGCCTGCTTATCTTCGCACACGCAGGAGGGAACAAACGTTAAAAGGGAAATAGCTAAAATGGGGAAACAATATGTCCAGTTGGGATGCTACCTCGAGGTGTCACCTGCTTGGGTGCGTCCAATCTGATATGGTCCCCGTATAAGGCTGAGCCCAAACAGGCTATCCTCCCAAATGGTGCAAACTTTACCGTTATGACATGAAGGAAAAAGTAAAAAATCAAAACGTGTATGTATCATCGGATAGGCTGATATATTAGTGGGGTGTCTGTCCTTTTGACCTTACCCTCCCAGCACTGGTACGTACACATTTGGTGGTTTTTTTTTTTTTTTTTTTTTTTTTTTCCTCCTTCAGCAAGGACATGCTCATGTGCCAACGTTGCAGACATATGACACAAGCGAGCATAGGGCGCATCTCCAGGAGGATTAACCCGCTTCGCTTAAGTACGCGCTTGCAGTGAATGGTGCGTAGAAAAAGAAATAAGCACGTCTCCTAAGTATTCTCAACAAGCGCAATGTTTGCATTGTTTGCTTCATTTGTACGGTTCCGCGCGAGGCACAAATGAAGGGCAAATCGCGCGAAGTTCCCCGCCCCTTGCAGTGCCGTATTCATCACACGCATACGCGCGGGGAGCTCAGCCATTTTTTTGCTTCTCATAAGAAAGTGCATCCGCCCAAGTGAACATATATGGACGACTCCCTTACGCGTATGCTTATCTGAAGCACCGCCGCTGCTGAACAAGGCAACCATTGGCTAGCGAGCGACCATGCGACCGACCGACGGAGCATTGGCTGAGCATTTCGTTGTAGCACTGTCGTTCACAAAGTCGTCAAGTATTCTTGCTGTTACCCCATTTGTCACCACGCAGCGCGTTATCCAACGCACGAAAGTACCATAGTAGTATCTGTTCACTGAGCAAGCCCCCGCGAGGGAACCCCATTTTTACATGTGCACTTTCTGGCCAAGGAGCCAGCCGAGCGAGAAAAACTGCCACGAAACTGGAAAAAAATTAAACTCAAATTCTGCCTCCAAATTGGCCTCAAAATTTACCGCCAAATTTATCTCGAAATTCGTCTCAAAATTAGCCTCAGAATTTACCTCCCAAGTCGCCTCAAAATTCGCAGCAAATTTCGCCGCAAAAAACAGTCCAACGGATATACCAAAGGAGGAAACATCGCATCCCTGAGAGCAGCCCCCCGAGAGCTCCTGCTCCTTCATCCGCTGAGAACAGAGGCGAAAGCGCGCTTTACTCCAAGTTTGCCATTTACCGTTTTCTATTCACGAGAGGCAGCCACGTAAAGAGGGTAAGCATGTGGAAAGATACATATGCTCATACGTGCGTATACTTGTGAATGCTTGTTTCCCCCCCGCCCCTATTTTTTTCTTTT